AGCTCAAGTGGTAGAGCGCTCGCCTTGAGCTGAAGAGCTGAGGGACAGCGCCCAGGCCCAGAGTTCAAGCCCCACGACCAACCAAAAAAAAAAAATTAGTTAAGGGGAGAGGATAACAACAATATGACTTTTAAGTAAAAACTAAATTAAATCTGAGCATGGTGATATATGCCTGTAATCCCACCTCTGAGGTAGGAGGCTGAGGCAGCAGGCTGTTGAGTTCAAAGCCACAGAGCAAGTTCAAGGCCAGTCTAAGCTACATAGCAGCACCTGTTTCTAAAATAATAAATAAAAGTTGAATTTCAAAAATAAGAAATTTAAAAGACTAAGAACTTTTTGACAATTTACTAATATACTCACTTTTCTTCAAGTTGGTTCTTTCTTTTCTGGTGATACACTAAAGCTGTAGGCTTTGCTGTCAAAACTTTAAGTTTTCCATGAAGACAAAATGAAGTTCTTTGGTCTTTCTTTATTGTCTCAATAAAGGTATCATACTCTTTTTTGATTGAAGTAAGAATGGATTTGTAGGCAGTGACATACTCTATAACCTGAAATATGATTTGTCTGCCTATGGTACTGATTTATTAAAAAAAAACTACAGATCAAAAGCATTTCAAATAGCATTATATTTTTAATCAAACATTATTGTTAGAAATGTAAAATTTTACATCAAACTCAAACATAAGCAGGCACTAAAAATAGTATTTAATGCATACATGCTCTTTGTGGATCATTACAAAATACACTGAAATCTGTTTTTTGTTTCTATTTTTGTCATGGGACTTGAACTCTGGGCTGGTGCGGTCTCTGAGCTCTCCAGCTCAAGGCAAGCACTGTACCACTTGAGCCACAGTGCCACTTCTGGTTTTCAGTAGTTGGGATAAGATTCTCATGGACTTTCTTGCCTAGGCTGGCTTTGAACGCTGATCTTCAGATCTCAAGATCTCAGCCTCCTGAGTATCTAGGATCACAGGTGAGCCACTGGTACCCGCTCTTTTTTTTTCTGGTCCTGAACTCAGGGCTTGGGCGAGCCTCTTTGTGTTCAAGGTTAGTGCTCTACCACTTGAGACAAAGTGGCACTTTTGGCTTTTTCTGAGTAGTTTTGGAGGTAAGAGTCTCATGGACTTTTTCTGTCTGGGCTGGCTTCAAACCACAATCCTCAGATCTCAGTAGTGAGTAGTGAGATTCCAGTCATGAGCCACCAGTGCCCAGTGAAATCTTAAGAGAGGTATACAGAAATAAAAGTATATATAGAAATAAAATTGATCCAAATATTTCTCTGGAAGTCTATGCTACCACTGATCCCCACTGTGTTCTCTAGCTAGATAATACCCAGAGCCAGGCACTGGTGACTCACACCTATAATCCTACCTACTCAGGAGGCTGAGATCTGAGGATCAAGGTTCAAAGCCAGCCCAGGCAGGAAAGTCCGTGAGACTCTTATCTCCAATTAACCACCAGAAAACTGGAAGTGGCGCTGTAGCTCAAGTGGTAAAAGCACTTGTCCTGCACTTAAGAGGTGAGGGACAGTGCCCAAGCCCAGAGTTCAAGCCCCTCAACAACAACAACAACAAAGTTATCCAGAAGACACTGAATCTATCAAAAAAAATATGTTAGAAAGAGGTGGGCACTACTGGCATACAACCGTAAGCCTAGTTGCTTGGGACAATAAGATCTGAGGATCCTGGTTTGAGAAAAGCCAGCCAAGCTGAAAAGTCTGTGAGACTCTTATCTCCAGTTAAGCAGCAAAGAGCCAGAAGTGGAGCTGTGGCTCAAGTTGCTCACTTTGAGCAAAAAAACTCAAGGAAAGTGCATAGGTTGAATTCAAGCCCCAGAACCAGCATATGTACACACAAAAAGGATATTAGGAAACTATTAATCAGCAGCAAGTACCAGAAAAAGAGCATCTGAATATTTTTTGTTTTGTTTTTACAGAGCTATACCCCTATCCACCCAATTCAGGAAACTTTTATAGAATAGAGGCCACAGCTTTTTGGTCTTATACTAAGCAATGTGCTGCTCCTAGCCATCCTTCACTTCACTATGATAGTCTTCCAACAAGCCAAGACAACTCAGATTTATGGGGGAGCTAATACAACTGATCCTTGTCCATGGTAGTTTACTAAAAGAAACAGAAAATGCATTAGAGAATGCAAATATGGGGCTAGGAATGTGGCTTAGTGGTAGAGCGCTTGCCTAGCATGCATGAAGCCCTGGGTTTGATTCCTCAGTACCACATAAACAGAAAAAGCTGGATGTGGTGTTGTGGCTCAAGTGGTAGACTGCTAGCCTTGTACAAAAGAAGCTCAGGAATAGTGCTCAGGCCCTGAGTTCAAGCACCAGGAATGGCAACAACAACAAAAAGAATGTAAAGTTGGATACCACAGGAGGTAGAATACAACTGGCAATTCAGTCTGACCCACAAAAATACATTACTGTAGGGAATTTTACTCCCAAACCACATTTCTAGTATTCCTTGAAAATTCTGAGGTGTACTAATGTCCACTCTTTAATGGCAATAATAGCTAGAATATTATACTGGACTGGTTCTTCATTTTGCCAGTCTCTACTATTATTCCCTTATAGCCAGCCCATTTAACTCTTTATATTTCCTTCTTGGCCTCTACAAATATTGAAGTGTAAGACTCCAGAAACCCAAGAAAATACTTACTTGGTACATGGATTTTATAAGGAAGAGGAATGGCATGCATTTGTACAACTTACTTGTAAAGCTATCAGGAGCACAAAAGCTCCATCTAGTTGCCCCCATAAGACATTGGTTTCTGTAGAAGCTCACTCTTTTAGTTTTGGCCTTCCTTGTTTACTATATCTTTGACTCTCTACATTGTAGCCTCAACTTTGAGTATATTAGTTTCAGGCCCTCTCTGTTTTGAGTCAGGTGTAATTCTTCAAGTCAAATCACTTAAGACACGATTTTGTATTTGCTCTCCAGTTTCAAGTAGGTAGAGATGTAAATTGACCTATTATTTTCTGGTCAACTAGATCCTTCCAAGAGAGAAAGAATGTCAAAGGAAGTAAATAATTTGAATCAATCAAATCAGATTCAATTAAATAAAAAATCAAATGTGCAAAACGAATGAGGAAATAAAAAACCTACAAGAAAAAATTCTCCTTTCTAAAATTATTGTTTTCCATTTCAGATAATTCTCATTCCTGAATAGAATTATTATACAGATAAATATATGATTTACAATTAAGCAATGTACAAAATCTTAGAGGGATGAGAAAAGGGCAGAATGGGAAATACAAGTAGATTAAATACTTTTTATTTAACTTCATGTGTTTTCTATTAAGAATTAAATGTACCAATACCAACTGCAACATGACTTCACTGTAACTAGCTATTCTTACTTAAAGCAGACAGCTCTTCAGTAAGGAAATCAAGTGGTAGGCTGGGAATGTGGCTCAGTGGTAGAGCGTTTGTCTTGCATGCATGAGGCCCTAGGTCCCATTCCTCAGCACCACATAAACAAAAAGCCAGAAGTGGCACTGTGGCTCAAGTGGCAGAGTGCTAGCCTTGAACACAGAGCTCAGGGACAGTGCCTAGGCCCTGAGTTCAAGCCTCAGGACCAGCAAGAAAATCAAGTGGCAGCATTCAGGCATGCAAAGATAAGCAAGTCATATATATATACACACACACACACACACACACACACACACACACATACTTTGCTGATATCACACAAGCAAAACCTCAGCATTCTTGTTTTCTAAAACTGTTCTTATAAGCATACATAAATAATACAAGGGGGAAGGTTCATTATGATAATGCCATAGATTCAGCATGACTCAGCATGATAGATATGAAACATACTCAAGATACTACCATTATTTAAAATATATTCTAATATCTAAGACAAACAGCAGTATAATTGGTCACAACATATAAAATGAAGGAAATGTGCCAATGTACCAATTCTACAAGATGGTTTCTCTTCTGGATGATTTAAAAGGAAGGGAAGACTGGTTTATACTCTTACACATAAGTATCAGTACTACTCTGTGCTCACTTTTCCTTGAAGTAAGTCACTAAGTTTGTTTTATTGTGTCACTCCTGGGGCTTTAATTCAGGGCCTGGTGCTGTCCCTAAGCTTTTATGTTAAGGCTAGAATGTTACCACTTGGACTCTACTTCCAGCTTTCTGGGTAGTTAATTAGAGATAAGAGTCTCATGGGCTTTCTATCCTGGGCTGGCTTCGAACTGTGATAGGCAACTCTCAGCCTTCTGAGTAGCTAGGATTAGAGGCATGAGCCACAAAGATTTTATTTAGAAAAAAGTCAGACTCATAGTATATAATATTTTGACAATGAAGCAAAGAACTGAATCAGCCTATGGCTGTTTTGCTCAAAGACCAATAGTTTACTGAAGTCTTCAGGTAAGTACTACATTTGTGCAAAAAGGAAAAGATACTAATGTAATTTATTTATTGTCAGCGAATCTTCTGGGCAGGTGTAAAAAAACGAAAGCTAGGCAAATGGTAGGATAAATGAGAAAACTGCAATTTTTATGAGGGGAAATAATTATTTATAGTCACAAAAGGTAAAATCAAATTTGTTATGAAAAGTTATGTAATATTTTCTAATCTATTTCGATTATCCTCAATGTTAAGTTTCATCAGATCCCTTATTCTACCATATTTATTTATTTACTTACTTATTTATAGCATAGAATTGCCCATGGTAGCCTCCAACTCTTGGCCTTAAGGGATCTTCCAGTTTCAGACTCCCTAACAACTATGACTACAGGCATATGCCACCCCATATGGCTCTAGGTCTCAATTTAATATGCTAAATCAAATTCAAACCAAGATTTTAGTTGGCTTTGAGTTTTCTTTTATTTTGTAGAGCTGAGGACTGAACTCAGGGCCATCCTCACTGAGCGTAATCCCCAACCCTAAACTAAGATTTCAGTGGTACCACAAACAAACCCCCCAAATTAGGAACTACCAGGTTCTTGTTTACAACCCAATAAATTAGAGAACCCCTTAAGATGGGTCAAAATGATTATCAGAGGGCAAGCTGTTGATCAGAAATGTTGATCAGCTAAACTAATATAACTGATAACAGCTAGGAAATGTAAGTCCGGCAATCTCCATGCCTTCCTGAAAAACAGGTCAAAATTTGTCAAAATGACAAATAGAATATGGCCAAACAAGCAGTGGTATTAATTACCAAGGCAGGGGTGTCAGGTGCTAAACACAGATCGTTTCTACCCTGTGAAAACTAAAAACATTATACCTTATCAAACACATTTCGGTAAATGATGTAGTATTCATCAGCAGGTCCTTCCTCATTACAGCCCACCTTTTCAACTTCGGTAATTATGTATCTTTGCATACTTTCCAAAAATTCCTTGTCGCTTCTACTAAGGATAGGGGGGAGAACTGCATGTTTATTAATTTCCTGAACTGACATAAGTCCTACACACTGGTCACCAGAGAAAAGTAAGATTTCCACCTCCTTTTGCAACAAAGCCAAACACTGTGGTAGGCCTGAAAGAAAGAAAGAAACAAAAAACAGTTAAAGTTTAAAAATCCTAAATCAAGTATTCATATAAAAGGTGTTTACTCCCTTTGGGGGAATTTGTTTTAATCTATTTTGCAGCGAAAGCAGGAGATTTCTCTGCCAGAGTCCCAGAGCGCGTCCCGGGCTTGTGGACATGCAGCCCCTCACTAAATCGACACCACCACTTTGGAGACACCTCGCTCTTTTCCTGCCCCCTGCAACCTTTTCTCCCAGCATTTCTATCCTCGTTTCACTCCCGAATCCACTATTTTACCCCTAACCTTCCCCCTCACCTGAATCCCCCACTCCCCACGCCGACTCCAAAGCTTACAGACCGTAACTAAGCAGCCCGCATATGAATTGCATCTTGGGACTAGTAGTCCTAAGAAAGCAGTGGAAAACTACAATTCCCAGAATACACTCGCCTTTTCTCCCTCACGTTTCCCAGTCTCCATTCTCCCCCCCCACCCCCCACCTTCCCTTGCAAGAACCCTGTAGCCACGTCGACTGTATGAAGTCTTTACAAGGCATTAACAATGTGTTCATGTGTACTACTTCGACAGCATTCTGAGGACGACAGTGAGAAACGAGCCCAGACTTGGGAAGTGAAGCAAGGTTCCCGACACAATCTGGCACTCGATTAGACAGCCTTCACGGCTTCAGCCCGGCATTTGTCGTGGCCGCCTAAGGGGCGGAACCTTCAGACAGGAAACCCCGTGAGGCGGCGCGGCGCTCTTCCTTTCCGATCCGCCATCAGCGGTGAGCGTGCGCTCCCGGGTCGGCTCCGGAGGGTGGCTCGTGCGGCGTCCGCCCCGGCGTCCCCACAGCTAGCCAGTCTCTTCTTTTTCTTCCATTTCAGGTGGGACCACCGCCAGGATGCAGATTTTCGTCAAAACCCTTACGGGGAAAACCATCACACTCGAGGTACGGGCCCTGCGGTGCGAGGAGGCCGAGGCCCGAGCGAGGTCCTCGGGTGCACGTCGGGGCCAGGCCTGAGGGGACCGCCGCCGCCGGGCCTTCGAACACGCTCCGGACGGGGGTTCTGAAGGCTGGTCAGGCCGGCCTGGGAGGGGAGCGGAGCGGACGCGAGGGAGGGCTGGACCTGCACACTCCCCAGCGGTGCGAGCCCAGGGACGCCGGGCCTGCGCCGGAGGGCGCGCGCACGAGGCCCCGCGCCGCCCGCCCTGCGCTGGGGAGGAAGGTTCTTGGAGGGGCTTCCGCGGGGAGCATCTCCTCCCGGATTTGGTTCCGTGTCCGTCGCGGTCCTTGTTTCTTAGCTGCAACCAATATACTTTTGTCTTTTAAAACTCCGTAGGTTGAACCCTCGGATACGATAGAAAATGTAAAGGCCAAGATCCAGGATAAGGAAGGCAAGTAATGTTTTGTTCCCAGTAATATTAGCCTGTGGAGCCAAGTCTCAGTAGGGTGGAAGGTCAGAGTGACAATGCTTCGCGGTAGTGACAGTAAACGAACACCTAGAGTTTCTGCAGATCAGTTATCATGGGTTTTGATGAGTTATTTCTCCTGTTTTTAATTTACAAGGTTAACGTGGTTAAGTTTGCAAGAATGTCTGAGCACTTAGAAATATGTTTTCTTGTAATTTTATACTATTTAGGATCGTTGTTTTGTAAATCTAGAGTGAATAACTTGCTCTGCTGAAATTTTCTTAATTAGGAATTCCACCTGATCAGCAAAGACTAATCTTTGCTGGTAAGCAGCTGGAAGATGGAAGAACTTTATCCGACTACAACATCCAAAAGGTTTGTTACCTCAAAATCTTAAGCAGTCCTATTATAGATTCACTAATCCAATAATAAGTGCCTGGCTCATTCCCTGTTTCATTAACAGGAGTCCACTCTTCATCTAGTATTGAGACTTAGGGGTGGTGCTAAGAAAAGGAAGAAGAAGTCTTACACCACTCCTAAGAAGAACAAGCATAAGAGAAAGAAGGTTAAATTGGCTGTCCTGAAATACTACAAGGTGTGTTGAATTGTTCCATGCAAAAGTTCTGAGTTTCGGTTTTTGCTTCTATTTACCACTTGGAAAATACAGTTAGTGTCCACAATCTCTAGCTGTAAAAACTTTTGGCAGGAGGGGGAGGTGGGGCAGTCGGGAGCTTGAACTCTGGGCCCTGAACACTCCCTGAGCTCTTCTCAAGACCAGCATTCTACCACTTTAGCCACAGTGCCACTTCCGGTTTTCTGGTGGTCAATTCAAGATCAGTCTCACAGACCTTCCTGTCTGGGCTGGCTTTGAACCGCAATCCTTAGATCTCAGGCTCCAGAAATTTATGGTTACTACGATGGTTTTCACTTACAAGACATGGGTTAAAAGTCTTTAAGCCAAGTTTTACAATGTTTTGTATAAGTCTCCTACAAGAAATTTTGTGTTTTTCAGGTGGATGAGAATGGCAAAATTAGCCGTCTTCGTCGAGAGTGCCCTTCAGATGAATGTGGTGCTGGGGTTTTTATGGCTAGCCACTTTGACAGGCATTACTGTGGCAAGTGTTGTCTCACTTACTGTTTCAACAAGCCAGAAGACAAGTGATTGTGTATGAATTAATAAAAGGCATAATCTAACATTTAATTGTGTTTTATTGAATACTTGAATAATGGTTTGGCATCAAATTGGCTGTCACATCATTTCCTTTGATAATGCCTTTGATGACCACTGCTGTCATGTGAAATATGACCTGTTGGGATTGTGACCCAGTGATTGTGGATACCCCTGACATGTTCAGAAAGGACATGTTTTCACTTATTAGAAAGTAGAGTGGTAATAAAGTTGGATATATATTTTAATGTCAGCTGTCCATAAATATAACCCAGTTTTTATTTCTGTCACTTCAGTGAGTACAGATGATTTTCAGTCAGACAGTTCCTTATGGGAGATGGCTCTTTACTTTGCGACAAGTTTATAATATTGGATCTAAATTGTTAACTTGGAAATACACATCCAGTCTCAGCATTTTGTTTTTAAGAGAAAATTACAGGTCAACATTAAAATGTGAACTCAGGATTTTAAGCTAGGGTGGTATGAAATTTTTTGGCAGATGGTTGGTCTTTTTACCCAAGTATTTGTAGGTAGAGGCATCCTTGATATTTCCTGTTTCTGTAATTCTTAGGCAGTTCTAAGTATTTGTCGGTTGTGGGGCTTGAACTCTGGATCTGGGCGCTATCCCTCAGCTCTTCAGCTCAAGGCAAGTGCTCTACCACTTGAGCCACAGCACCACTTCTGGTTTTCTGAGTGGTTTATTGGAGATAAGAATCTCACAGGCTTTCCTGCCAGGTTTGGCTTTGAACTGTGATCCTCAGATGTTAACTCCCTGAGTAACTAGGATTACAGGCATGAGCCACCGGTGCCCACCTGCTAAAGTATTTTAACAGTATAAAGCAATAGGTTTTTTTTCAATCTTTACTCAAAATGAATGGCCCAAGTTATAAGAGCCACCAAGTTTACTATATAGGAAAGGACATTTTAGCATTGATAATTTTGATGTAAATTTAAAATCCTGGATCCCAGGAAGTCTTAGCTGGAACTTGCTTTTCTTCATAACAAATGATTTCATCTCCCACTTTAAATTCTACTTTTTCTTCATCTAAACTGAGGCCACAGTCCATCCCAGTTTTGATGACTGAAGTGTCATCTTTATGGTGTTTCAGTGAGGTTAATGATCCTTTAAAAAAAGAAAAACAGTACATTCAAATAACTCATTAAAAGTGTAGCGTGGTATTAAATACATAAAATTTTAAAAATCAGAAGTTTAAAGACAAATTGTAGCAGAAGATAAATTTCCCATTAAAAAAAATAAGACTGCAAATGTTTGGCTCATTGCAGGGAAACTTAGGAAATAGTAAGGAGAGTTAAAAATTAGAAGCAGTCTAGGATTTTGTGGGAAAGAGGAATGGATTTCAGAAGGCTACACAATCGGTTTGGCGATGATGTATTATAGACTGATGCTGGGCTCGGTAGCTCGGACCTATAATGCTATTTGGATGACAGATTGGATCACAGGCCAGTAGGGCTCAAGACTGCACCTCAAACAATGCCTGGGTAAGATGGCTAGTTTTCGCAGTAATACGGGTAAGCATACAGGTAGAAGTCCAGGCTGGCCAGGGCACAACTCCAGACCATACCTAGAAAATAGCCAATGGGAAAAGGTGTGGAGGTGTGGTTTCAGTGGTAAAGCACCTGCTTAACAAGTGTGAGGCCCTGAGTTCCATCTCTAGCAACACAAAGAAAAAAACAGTAGTAATGCTTACCCTTCCAAATGACATGTCCATTACGGATTAATTTAAATTTTTTTTGTTTTTCCAATTGTCCCTTTTGGACTCTGCAGCCAGCAACAGGAATTTTTTTCTTCCCTTCTGTTATAAAGAAGGTAGCTAGTATAGAAGCTTCACCTTTAAGAAAAGAAGAATGTTAACATGGGAAACTAAGGATTCTGATAATGTTTGACGTTCTACAGTATAAGAATTAAAAATAGTAATTCAAAAACACTGCTTTGACACCAATTTTTAAATAAAGCATCCTCAAGTGATTTGTCTGTTCCATGAAAACCTAGCGTTAAGCTTTCTTTCAATTTGGTTTCTGTCATTTCCAGATTTAAATCAAGACGTTTTTATATCCATTAATCAATACTAATTCTATAACTCAGTTTTCCTACAACAACAAATTCAATAACAGGTTTGTTACCAATTTTTGAGGAATTTACCTGACATTTTCCAAACTGTTCTTAGTGTAAGAACACATAAACCTCCAATTAACCAGCAAAAAGCAAGAGGTAGAGCCAAGCAAGAGCAAGAGGCCTGTAGTTCAAGCCCCAGTACAGGTGTGTACACACATACACACACACACACACACTACAGGTGTGTACACACACACATCAATTGAATAAGTTCCAGATTAAGGTGGAGGAGAAAGGGAATATATGATACAGGCAATGAATTAATGTACACTGTACACATCTGTGGCATCAGAGTGAAACTGCTTTGCACTATTAATGTGTGCTAAAAAAAATCAACTAACATTAAAATTGTCCCATTGCACTCAAATGCTGCTTTCTATAATGCCTTAGGTGTCAGCTCAGAGAGAAGAGCTGAAGCACACATATATAAGTCACCAAGAAATCAGCATCAAGCCCAAGGGAGGGGATATGGGCGGAGCTTCATGCTATTAAAAAATGCCCTCAGGATTCCATTGGGCTCCTGTTTGGAACTCCTCTCTTGAAAGGGCTCACTATTTTTGCTGCTTTACTTTCAAATAGCCTTGCTCTGTCTGCTTAAAAAAATGTTTTAGAATAAATGAAACTAAAGAGACCTAACAATGAAATATAATCCGACGCTGGACTATGGGAAAATATATAC